CCCCAAAACCCCAAAACCCCAAAACCCCGTCAATTGAGATCAGATTCAACATAATAAAAAGCAAAATTGGATTTTCAGCAATTTAATATTTTATAGGCAAGGATTTAAATATATTTATGTCAAGCAGGATTTAGATTTATAATATTTTAAATAAATAATGAGATAAACAGCCCTAAAGCTTGTGATTTGCGCTTTTGCAGTATCAGCCATCGCCGCTAACGAATCTTGGGAACTCAGAGGAGATGCTTACCAAGCAAAATCCGCCGAGGAAAAACACGACATCATCTGGAACAAAGTTACTGCTGATGAGACTTCCCAAGCATGGAAAGGAGCAGCAGGATTAGCTGGTTTTGTAGCTGAGTCAATGGCTCCAACTCTTGATTGGGTTGCCGATTCAATGCCAACTGGTTTCTTTGGAAAGAGAGAAAAGTATATCCACACCCAAGGAGTAGTTGGATCAGTCAAATTCGTACCAGTCCCAAACAACGAGGGCTACACTGGCATCTTCCAAGGTGCTGAATACGGTATCATTAGATTCTCAACAGGAGGACAAGCAGATGAGACCAAGAAAGACGCCTCTCAAGCTCAAGGCAACTTCGCCCCAGGCTTCGGCCTCAAGTTCCTTAGAGACGGCATTGTCTCTGCTGATATGGTTGCTCTCTCAATCACCCAAGAATCATGGAACTTCTTCAAGAATGATTTCAGTAACCACGTCGGTGTTGCCCCAGGTATTGTTGGAACTAAATTTAGAACTGTTACTCAATACATCAATGTAAGCTAATTTCTTCGAACAGCTAAATACCCTATTCAATTTTCAAGTTTTTAACCAAATATTTTAGCACATTGGTATTTCAGACATGGCCAGGTACAACGAGAAAGGTTAAGATTAATCCGCTCAACTTAAATTCCCCTTCCAACTCCTCTTCTCCGCCCCTAATGAACTCAAGAGCAGATTCCCAGACAACTTCGAAAAGGACTTCACTGATCAACTTATCACAATTCCTCAAGGAAGCACCCTCTTCAATGTCTATGCCCTTGCAGATCCAAAGGCAGAAAAAGTTCTCATTGGTCATCTCGAACTCAACTCAGAGATCACTAGATCAATGTTCGGTGATACCATGCTCTTCTTCGAGCACTAAAATGGCGCTCAAGATATTGATATCAAGCCAGAGTGGAAATCCGCATTCAACCTTACTAGTCAAAAAATTAGCGTCAAAAACGGAATTGCCTGCCCACTTAACTACTTGAAACAATACGTCAAGGACAGCATTCAACAAATCCAACAATTCATTTGAGTTATAAATTAACCCTATGGGCCATTGTAGATGCGGCCCAGCTGATCTTTTAATAGTCAATATAAAACTTATCTAAAACTTAACCAACCAAATTAATCTATATATAATATAGTCATTTATATTTAACTTCCATTATAAAACTCTCATTGTTTTGACAAAAACCCACTAGTCTATTACTTGCAATTAAAGCTTTCTATATCATACTACAATCCCTGAATCTTTGTAAAATTTGATTCAACGGGGTTTTGGGGTTTTGGGGTTTTGGGG